ATGTACACCGATTTTATACATGATAGGTCCGACTTTTGGGAATGATTTCTATCAAGGCAAAACTGTGCCCATACCATTCTAACCGTCTTTTGTAATCTTACATTGGAAATATCTCCCAATGAAATAAAGCACATAAATACGAACATACTCCCAATACAAAACAATAAAGGCTGCTCGAATGGGCTTTGCCCTGACTGAAGCCGAACTCCCAACATTTATAATGGGCCCCAGTTTTATTTTTATAGTGAGATGTGCCGTATTAAATCAAGTTGGTAAGGTGTTGGAATGTGCTTTGTTGGCAAGATATCCTTACTAGATGTGAGAAGGATTTTGTGAGGAAATAGGCAATGATGCTCGGGCTTACTATCAATCTTACGGAAGCCATAAGTCCAGCTGATATACATAAAAAAGAAAAGAAAAGAATAGGATTCTTGTCAGTGGCGAAAAAACAGAAGGGTTCTGCCGTCTGGACTTTGTGGTCAAGAGGTTGGGGTGTTTGAACTTTGAAGGCATATAGTCAAGTCATTAGGCTACAAACCTATATATAGGAAGCCTTCGACTGAAGCCTAGGGCAAATTTATGAGTTTGCCATCCCTACACCCACCCGCTTGGCTTTCGATTTAGGTGCTGTGTGTCTACAGTCTACTACGTTGAAACCTGAAAGCAACTAAAATAGCTGAGATCCAAGTTGGTGATTATAAGAGCCCGTTTGAGAGGGTTGAGATGAAGATTCAGCTAAGATGGTTTAATTGTTTTGAAATGATTTGGAAAGTTATTTAAGGAGGATGGGCTCCTTAAAAGTGATGAATGACAACTGATTTGGGCTCTCAGGACGCCAGAAGCAGCTCCATTTCAGCCCTCTCAAAACGGGCATTAAGTTAAATTTTGGCCTGAAAACCCCACCAGACAAAGCCAAAAGCAGCTTCAGTCGATTCGTTTTCTTGCTGGGTTGTGTCAGGTTGAGATTGGATTTGAATTGTCTTGTAAATTAATCAGCTCAATTAGCCTGTACTTTTGTTAGAATGATGACGAGTATTCCCCGGGCGGGTCTCATTTTTCTTAATTGAGAATAGTACAAAAATTGGATGTTGGGTTTAGAAGTGCGTCTGGAACGAACAAACATTTGCAGCTTCCTTGCTTAAATTAATTTAAAGGAAAAGCCAAATAAGCCAGGAAGGAAGCATGCTCTTTCCATTTTCTTACACATTACAATCACCACTCTGGGTGAGGAAGCTTCAACCCTTGTCTGGCTTTGCACTGGACCACAATTATGCTTTTAAATTATGTATTTAGACAGAAACAACCACTAATTTGCCTCGCTATTTTGATATCTTCCTTTTTCTTTTTTTTTTCCTTATTGTAATTAGTAAAACACCTATCCAAACATAAACCCGAATCCGGATCATCTCTTCACCGAGCGTGTTCCTCACAGCAACTCTCAGTTCACATTGGAAACATTTCTCCTACTTTGTGTTATTATTTATAGAGAGATATTCACAATACACAGGCCAGTGAGGAGTGACTATAGGCATGTCTGAACAGACAAAAACACCCTTCTGTACTTGCCTTTATAGATGTAAACGATAGTGCCTTTGTATTATTTTCACCAAGGGTATTCCAGTTAAAAGGATATGTGTTCAAACCGCTGCTATTTTCTTTCCAAACGAATCTTAACACCACCCTTGAAAAACCTGTCCAGCAGGAGGTGCAAATTAGACTGGATTAGCCCAAACCCAATTCAAAAAAGTAGTTGAAATTCGGGTTAGGACTAGGGTTGGAAGATATGTACCCAACTTAACTTCGGGTTGGGATGGAGTGGAGTTGAGGCCTTCACCAAACCAAACTCAACTCAAACCTAACATGTCATCATATAAGTGTATGTATAGACTATAGATATTGTATAAATGTGTACGTAAGTATATATTGATGTAATCATAAATCCATGAATGTATTTAATTATATGCATCAGTAATTTTAAGTTTCAAGGCAAAAAAAATGGTATTGTAATATAATTATAGTAATTCTAAATCAGCCACCCTTATTCCATTAATCTTAAGTGTAATAAAAATGTATTAATAAACTAAAGAAACTGGGTCCCAAATCCAACCCAAAAAAGTCGGGTTGAATTAGAGTTTGGGTCGTTGGGGTTTTGAGAGTTCAACAACTCAGGTTGAATTAGGGTTGACCTCATCACCTTGACCTTTTAAACATATTATCAAGTTCACTAGGATGCAGGTCATTCGGCCAAGTTATCCAACCAAACCGAGGATCTTCCATGCAAAAGCTTAGACAGAGGCTCATTTGAAGAGCTCCCATGTTAACCATGTCACCTTTTCATCAAACGTGCAATATCAGCAGAATTATCCAAAATTGATTATCTTTTAGACATATTAGATTGGTAACAAAAAAAAAAACACTAATTAATCAGATAGAAATTTGGGCATACATCTATATTCCATAGACGAATTATCATCAAAGTTCACATGAGGTATTTTGATAGAGATCAAAGCTCTTACTGTACCATACCTTTCTGGCATTATAAATTTATCCCACAAATTAACAGCACAAGTAACAGAGAAGTTATCTAGAGACAAGATACTTACAAAATGTACTTTTAAGCTTATTTTGTTTCATACAAGACCATCCAATGTTTTATTAGGTCAGAAAAGAAATTAATGGACAGTACTGCATGTATTAATTTCATGGTGAAGTTTTCAATTAATTACAATTTCATTATTTCATTTGTGTGGAAAAATAAATATGGCATTTGCTAATTTCTATGCTAAGATTGAAAAATGTCAACAAGCTAAATAGCACAATAAGTCGATCATCACAAATGGGTTTGCCATGTTTTTTACATAAGAAATGTTATCCTTTTGTCTTTTCGGTAGCTATACTATTTGTCCTTTCCTTGTCCCTCTAATCTTATTCACAACTCCACCTAATTTTCCTTAAATGGTTTCTGAGAAAAATTAATCATAACGTAATAATAGTAATAATAATAACAGCAGCAACAACAACAACAACAATAATAATAATAATAATAATAATAATAATAATAATATATGTACGTGATTTTTTAATCTTATATATGAAATAACTTATTTTATTTTTCTCTTAGCACTTTAGGAAAGACGACACATGATTATTAAAATAGTTAGTAACCAATAACGATTGAAGTTGCTGAACTGAATCACTTATTGCTTTATGTTTTAATGGATAAAAGATTAAAGGGAAATTGTCTAAAACTCACCATGAGTTTTCAACATTTCTCTTAAACTCACAACTTTTCAAAATGTCTAAAACTCATCATGTCAGTAAGTTTTTATTTTCCAAAACTCACCTTTCGTTAGTGCACCGTTAATGCTTCTTAACAGAGGTGTCCATGTCAGCATAAATAACAATTTTTATGATCAAATTACCCTTGAATGGTGAGTTAGAAGAAGAATGGTCTTTTTCAATTTTCAATTTTCTTGTTTTTTTTTTTGCATTTTTAGTGCTTTGTTATAATTTCCAATGTTTTTTTACATTTTTTCTATTTTCCACAATCTATAAATTTTCCTATATTTTTTTGTTATTTATTTGCAATTTCTGTGTTTTTTGATAATTTTTGGTGTTTTTTCTACAATTTTTATTTTCTGATTTTGTTTTTCAATTCCTATAGTTTCTATAATTTGAAAATATTTTTTTATTTTGTTTGCAATTTCTATATTTTTTTATATTTTTTGTAATTTCTATGCTTTTATGATAAGATATTAACACTCGTTAACTTATTTTGTATATATTTTATATTTTTCTATGAAGATTAAAATGGTAATATATTAACACCCGTAAAATTATTTTGAGTATATTTTATATTTTTCTATGAAGGTTATAATGGTAATATATTAACACCCGTTAATTTGTTTAACATCAAGTTAGTGACATGGTGAGTTTTAGACATTTTGAAAAGTTGTGGGGAGTTTAAGAGAAATGCTCAAAACTTATGATGAGTTTTAAACCATTTCCCAAGATTAAATGATAAAGGCATTTGTGTTTCAACCATTAAGAAGTTGGCCCACAATCACTTTAATAGTTTTATCTACTAAAAGACAAAAGAAACAAGTCATTCAGTTGAGCAACTTGAGCTGTTATCAAATGCCCACTTGCATATCATTACTCCAATGTCCAATAACCGTAGAAATAGAGCAGAAAGATGGTGGAACAGGTGACATTATATAGGTGACCTCTCATTCTTTTATGGGCCCAGACGATAATGAGCCAATTGCAATATTCCACATTAGGCAGATTATGGGGATATTCACAACCTAATATATTGGGCATTAACGTTAAAGCATGATTAGCCACTATTACAAACTGTTAAATGAGATGTTAAATTTCTTTATATGTTTGTCATGTGGATAACAAATGAACGATCTCAAATCTCTTACCCACAAATTTTTCCCACATCCCTACCCACAGGATACACAGTGGTAGTGTCTTTTGGATAGCTTGTGGGTAAGAGATCCAGAGTGCATATTGACACCCAAGATTTGTCGGTGGAACCCAGCAGCTTTTCATGTTATTAATTGGTAAGAATACAAATACAAATATACACATGTTGTTATTAATTTATTATTATTGCACCAGTAAAAAGCATAAGCATGGGAGTGCAACTAGAAGACTGCAAATTCTGGTTTATTTTGCGTTGGGTTCTAGTTCTGCCTTAAATTGCAATAAACCAAAATAAGGTAAAAGTTGAAATAAAAATGATAAAATCAGAATTCTCACACAATGACACAAGGTTAACGGTTCAGGTGTCAAAATTGCTAGGTGAAAAACAGAATGTTGTTTGCCGAGTCAATGGTTATTTTTAATTCCAGGTTAGGTGAAAAACAGAACCATTTAAGCAACTGGTTTCCGGGTCGAATGGTCAACCATAGACCATTCGGGTCAACTACGTTTTGAAAATCATGTTCCAAATAATAAGGTTTAACTCGTCTTTTGAAAGCAAACCCAAGTAAAAGCAGGGTTTGGCATCAAACCAGACCAAACCACCATCAGCATTTTGCAACTTGACCACTACATTTCAATGTTAGAATTAAGATTTCAACCATCTGATTCAACTAATCTGATGTCAGGGTGACATTTTTGATTGTCAATTGAAACGCATATTCACAGACCGCTTCTACATTCTCATTCTCATTTTCATGATTCGTCCACTTGGATTAATAATGTCTTCATGAAGAAATTGCAATATTTCATGACCAAAAAGCTTGCATCAAGCAGGAAATCTTTTCCTACCTTGACTACCCTTTTGTTGCCACCATTAGGGACATGAAAACCCTGAAACTCATTTTTAACTTAAGCTCTCAACTTTCGGTGGTAGACCAAAAGGTTGCTTAGCTATCATCTTGACAAAAGCTCTCAACTTTAGGTGGTAGACCAAAAGTTTGCTTAGCTATCATCTTAACTTAAGCTCTCAACTTTAGGTGGTAGACCAAAAGGTTGCCTAGCTATCTGGGATGATAGCACTTCCGTCATCATGCCCATCAGTTTGTTTCTACCCTCTTCAAAACGCAAATGGTCATGCTTCCTGCTCTCAAGTTGTCCCATTTGCATTTGCACCCCTTGGGATTGGGACATCATCCGGCCAGATGCATTATTCAGTACTTTGGTGCTGCCATTCTCCAAGCCACTCTTGAGCCAAGCAATGTTACTTAAATCTGTGGCTATTGAGGCCAATTCATGACTGGAGAATGGTGGAGGTTCCACAAAATCAACAAATACAGGTCCCAATAAAGAACTTTGAGACTGTCCCTCACTCTGAGTTCCACAGCAACCATGCCCACATCGTCGCGGTACTAAGGGCTCACCACAGATGCCACCCTCAAGCAATTTGGAGATCTCAATATCTGGTTTCGAGGGTTGGACCAAAGACCCATACAATGGTACTGCAGATGATGGAGATCTAATTCTATGACCATCCAAAGGATTATAAAAACTAAATGCACTTACACGTGCCACAGGACGGAAGAGGGTAGGTGGGTCATTTGCTTTAATGCTGCAGTGATCCTCTTTTGTTTGACCTTTGTCTTCATACTGGTTTGGCATGTTCTCCAGTGAGTTGACAACATCTTTTCCATCCAAGGACTTGAACGAATTGATGTCGCCACATGACAATGTTTCTTCAGAGGATGCTTTGGTCTTGTCAAGGCTGGCTTCTTCCAACATCTCACCTGATGCTGATCTAAACCTGTCAAGCTCCATGCACCTACGTCTCAAGGTAGAATTCCAGTGGTTCTTTATTGCATTATCTGTTCTCCCTTGTAGCAATCTCGCAATTGATGCCCATTTGTTTCCATGAATTGCATGGGCTGCAAGTATGATCCGATCTTCTTCTTCTACAACAATTTCTGCTGTTAGTAATGTACAAGCATGGATTTCCAGTTGGGTCCATATAAAACATTATAAGGGTGAATATAAAGGAAAATTATGAAAACAGATACAGGCCTACTATCAAGTACACTCTCAACATGTCTGTTTTTGAAGGCTTTATTGGGAGTTTAGATGCCAATTTGCAACTTCTGTTAATATGTGAAATGAGTTGTAAAAAACTTGGGCAAACTGTCAATCCCATTTTTTCCTAAAGAACTAAAAATGATAAAACCCACTACGGTCTACTATCAAGTACACTCTCAACATGTCTGTTTATGAAGGCTTTATCACGAGTGTAGACGCCAATTTGCAACTTCTGTTAATATGTGAAATGAGTTGTAAGCAACTTGGGCAAACTGCTAATCCCCCAGCAAATGGAATGGCTGATTCTTTAGCTAAGCAGAGGGTCCATAGGCAGCAGCTGTTTTGGGCTCAATTGTAGTTTTTTGGCTTTGTTGGATTGTTGGCTGTATTGTAATTTGGCTCTGACTTTTCACTGATTAATAATATTAATTCTTCTTTGCTGATAAAAAAAAATGATAAACCCACTATGGCATTACTCTTTTGCCTAAATTATGATCCGAGTTTAATTGAAACCAAGGTTCAAAGTATCGATACGATACGCATATTGGCCATATTGTATCGGTACTTAGAAACGGCCGAAACATTTTTTTTAGTTTTTTTTTCAAATTTTGGTTTTTTAGGAATCTTAAAACATGTCTTTTATTATTAAAAAAAGTTGGGGGTCTGAAACACCTGGAAACAGGCGTTTCAGACCGTATCTTTTTCAAAAGATACGATACGATATGCCCGATACGGGGCGTATCGTATTGATACTTTAAACCTTGGTTGAAACAGCCTCCATTCTACCATTTTGTTTTCGACAAAATCATACCACTGTTCTCCTTACTTTTGTTTCTCTACTTTAGATTTTTGTAGTTTTACCTACTTTCAGTTCTTATGGCCTGTAAATGATAGCTAGAATTTTGTCACTAACAATTACACTTCCTAAATTGAATGGTGCAGTGCACTGTTGTATAGCCTTAAGTTGGTTCACTCCTGTATACCATCACAGAGAACTTACTAAGAAAGCAATATCAATAAATGATGGAAGAGAAGTTAGAAATGAAACAAAACAACAAATAAGAACTAGATCATGACTTGCTCTACTCTAGCTTTCCAACATGAGTTCCTTCAGCTTTCTAACATCCAACTTTGATCTCTACGAGGCCCCTTCCACATCTCAAGTTTCATGATTGCTACTTCAACAATACACCAATTTTCATGGAGGTTGCTTCAACATTCTTACTTGTAAACTGAAGCTAGTTTCCCCACCTTGAGTTTAAAGGAGAGTGTAGAAAGATATATTGTATTTGGTTGTATTTGGGTTTTCTTTCAGGGAGTGTGTTGGAGGTTACAAGGGTATATTTGTCATGTTGATAAACTTTGGAGACTTGTATGTAGTTATGGGAGGAAGAGGGGCTTGCGTGAAATTCTGACAGAATTTATTTATGTCATTGGTTGTGTAGGATTACGGTTGAGTGAGAGTGGGCATTTTGTTGTGAGTCTATAGAGAGGTCAGTCTTGTATCTCTTATTCTCACAGTGGATGTTTTCCCTCTCTTCCCGTGGATGTAGGCTACAGAGCCAAACCACATTTACTATTCTCAGTCCTGCTAGTTGACATAATCCACCATTCTAAATCAGCCCTGCACTCCACCTTGTAATGGTGGTTTTCCCCAAAAAAGTCATCTGTTCAAAGTTGTTATTTTTTATACAAACCTTACCTGTAAAGTAAGGGCTTATTATTGAAGCATTGCAAGTGCTATTTTGCTGAAATTTGCCCCATAAACAAAATTAGTAGGAAAATTACATGGGGTCCTTTTGGACTCCCAACTAAATTGCCATATTGAAAATTCCTTTGTCATTCTGGATAAGATTACTGTTAGCGTAAGGGGTATTTCTGTCTTTATACTTATATTAAGGTTGCTGATCTATAATATTATGTTAGAACCAGTGCTCCTTACTTAAATAAGAGCACGTATGTCTTTTCCATTTATTTTAATAATAAAAGCACATGTCTGACCGAATGGGAGTTAGGTTTTTTGACTTCCAGTTCGAACCAGACTTTCTCCCTTTCTTTCTCTCTCTTTCTTCCACCTTTCTACCTCTCTCTACGTGACTGATCTCAGACAAGTAGAACTCCAAGGCAGGCCGAATCATAACATGGTATCAGAGCCACTCAAATCTGCCTAGATTTCTATTCTCTACGCACCCAATCTAGGGTTTCTCTTGATTTTCCTGCATTCAACTGGAGATAAGGGAAAGGGCTGAAAAGGAGTGATCGCCCTCTCCCCTTGGAGGTTTCTATGCCTCCAGTCATGTCTTGTGTGGTCGGTTGCTGTGGTTTCTGAGAAGCCCTCCCCTAATCGATGAAGAGAAGAGGGCCGATCTGTGTGGTGCAGTGGCTGTCTTGTGTGGACTGATTTTCTGCTCGTGTAGTTGTTCCTTCAGTGATAAGGTAAGAGATTTCTATGCATGATTTCTGTTATGGATCAAATAGGAACTATGTTTCAGATCATATGTTGGGGTTTTAGACAGTAGCGTGCTAGGGTTTATGCTGTTTTTGCGTATTTTGAAGGAAGAGTTGTGATCATATAGTGGTGAGATTTCAGGTAGCCGTAGGAGTAGGGTTTGTGGTGTAAAGAGTACAATTCTCAGCAACAACAAGTGCTGAAATCAGTGTGACGAGTGTGATCTAGTCGTTTGTAGTGTGCAGAATTCAGTGATAATAGAATTCGGCAAGTGTGCAGAATCGGTGTTAACAGAATGGGAGATAACAGTGATTGTAAATCTAATGTGATGGTGCCTACAGACTACCTGAATGTTCAGATGACCTCCATTAAACTAAATGGAGAGAATTATGTGACTTGGGCTAAATCCGTCGAAGTCTTTCTGAAGGCAAAGAAGAAAGTAAAACACATAAGAGAGGAGAAACCCTCCACTAACTCTCACGAGTATGAAGATTGGGAGCAAGAGGATGCTTAGATCATCACATGGTTATGGAATAGTATGGAACCCAGGATTAGTATAAATTTCATGTTTCTTGACACTGCCAAAGATGTGTGGGACCATGCGAAGAAATTGTATTCGAGTCAGGACAATACAACAAGAGTGTATCAGCTGTATCAGGAGTACTTTAATCTACAACAGGGTAATCAGAGTCTTGAGGAGTACTATGCCAGTATGAGAAACATGCGTAATGAGCTGAATGTCTATCACCCTCACACTTTTGATGTCAAAATTCAGCAACAGAGAGAACAGCTTGATGTGACTCGATTTTTGGTGGGACTGAAATCTGAATATGAACCAGTACGGGGCTCAGATACTAGGAGGATCAGCTCTCCCTTCTTTAGAAGAGGTATTTGCTCGACTCCGGAGGACTTCTATCGGATCTACTGAGAACTCTAATATCTCAGATAGATATGCCTTTGTTGTGTCGAGAGGCCGTGGTGTTAGAGGTGGAGCTCAGGGAGCTCAGTCTGGCTGTGGTGGTAGTAGTGGTCCGGTGTATGGCCGAAGTGGCAATGGTGGGCCTACTTATAATCGTGGTGGTGGTCCTACTGGGGGCAGAGATTCAGGGGGAGCCCGTGTTAGAGGACGTGGCTCAGGCCTGAGGAGGTGCACTCATTGTGATATGGATGGACATACCATTAACTATTGTTATGATCTTCATGGTGCACCCTCAGCCTGGGCCAATCATGCTGTGACTAGTGACACCAGTTTCAGCTTTAGACAGGAGAATCGTTCATCTGATCAGATACCTCCTACATCCACAGATGGTTCCGTGAAGGAGATGGTGAGTGTTCCCCGTGATGAATATGAGAGGTTTATCCAATCCACATCACAGCAGAACACAGTTACTTTCACTCACTTAGGTATGGCTTGTTTGGCATCCACACCCAATCCTTGGATCATTGACTCTGGAGCCTCCGATCACATGACTAGAACTCCAGGTGTGTTTTCTTCCCTATCTCATTGCTCAACATCACAATCTGTCACCCTTGCTAATGGTTCCACATCCTCAATTTGTGGTGTTGGTAATGTTGACCTAGACCCTGTATCCCTATCCTCAGTTTTGTATGTTCCTAAATTTCCTTTTAATCTTATGTCTGTTAGTAAACTGACCAAATCACTTAATTGGCCCATTACTTTTTATCCTTCTATGTGTGTTTTTCAGGATCTCAAGACGGGGATGAAGATTGGTGGAGGGCATGAAGCTAGTGGACTGTATTACCTTGACGGTGGTGGAAAAACTTCAACAGCTCTCCAATCATCCCTTTCTCCTCTCCAGTGGCACTATCGATTTGGTCATCCGTCGCTGAAAGTTTTGAAGTCTTTGGTTCTGCCTTTGAGTCAACTTTCTGTTTTGGATTGTGAGTCGTGTCAGTTTGGGAAACATCATCGTGTTCCCTTTAGTTCTAAGGTTGATAACCGTGTGTCGAGTCATTTTTCTTTGATTCACTCCGATGTTTGGGGTCCTTATAAAGTGATGTCATATAATGGGTATAGATATTTTGTCGTTTTTGTAGATGATTTTTCAAGGATGACGTGGCTCTATCTAATGAAAGAAAGAAGTGAATTGTTTACCATTTTTCAGAAATTTTATGCTRAGATTCGTAATCAATTTGGTATTCACATTAAAGTTTTCCATT